ATAAACTCACCACGTGGTGTTTCGGGCTGCACTGCATAGCTTTAGAGTGAGCTATGCTGTGTTGGGTCCTGTTTGCATACCTCCCACTGGCCAGCATGATCCACGGCGACAGACGCACCGAGACATTGCATCATGCTGTGTCAGCCGAGAGGAAAGTGCTGTTGGCGGTGGACTTGGATCCCCACCTCAGCACCCCCAATGCCAAGGCCTCTGTGCAGGACACACTCTTTCACGCCCTTACTAACAGAGACCACGAGGCCTTTGCCCAGAGGCTCCAAGGTACAGAGCAGGCGTTTGTTTTTTCTGAAGTCCACATGTGAAATGAAACATGGACTCTGGCACAGTTGCTGTACGTCTGTGCCCGTGCGCACCCGTGGGTGGTGTGGGAATGGCAGGCATGGGGCTCCAGTTCGAGGGTTAGGCTTGCATCTTCCCAGTGCTGCGTCTGTTGTGGAGTATCCCAGGGCTTGAACACATTTGCTGGCAGGTCAGGTGGGTTCATCCCGAAACCTTCCAGCTAGTGCTGAGTAATTGGAGCTCCCGGTTATCCTAGCTGCTAGTGGTCCTTTGTCCCCCAGGTGCCTCGCTCAGGTCACAGACAGGGAGACGGAAGAATGCAGATGGAGTGTGGTCATCTGGACAGAGTGTGAAGAACCAGAAGAGGTGGCCTCGGAGCAGCCCGGCCACCACCTGCATCTTCCAGGGCGAGTGAGGTCCTGCCATCTGGACGCTGCTGGCCGGCTGTCGGGAAACTGTCCCGCCACCTCTGGACTGTGCTGGACCTTGAGGCCAGGCGGAGAGAAGCGGAGGCTGCTACAGCCCAGCCCGGATTGAGGTGGCACAGCCCGGTGCAGAGGAGCAGGTGGCAGGAAACTCACACTGCAACCCTGCCTGTTGGACCTGCCTCTGCCAAATGCGCTCTGGGGCCAATGGACATCACGAGACACTGTCACTGGAAGGGCACATCCTGTGACCATCGGTTCCACATCACTCGCCCCCCCAATTTCACCTCTGGTAATCTCAGGGTGAGGGACGTGAGTGACTTTAGAGGCCTCAGCCCCAGTGCAGACAGCAGGGACCATCTCAGCTAAGTGCACGCGAGCACATTCCTGGGGAGCCCCCTGCCCGGCCTCTGCTGGGCATCAGGCTCCTGCTGCAGGGCGGGAGAAGCAGGCCTGCGGTGAGTCAGGGTGGCGGGAGCCTGGTGCCCCACAGGATATGGACATCCCCCTGCATGTATGGAAATCATTTCCCTGCGTGCAGGGCACCCCATGTCATCCCAGCCCTTATGGCTGAGACTTTCCCAGGAAGAACCCAAGGTGGCTGCAGAGATATGGAGTTAATGCCTGTGCCACTGGGCAGTTTTAAACAGGTCATAAACAACAGACCCTCTCATGCTACAGCAGACGCCACCTCGCCTGGCCTCCCAGAGCTGCTGGTCCTGGTCCAGCCACGCTTGCCATGTGTGTCCCTGTGCAGCAGATAAATTATGTCTACTGGCATTTATTGGCCAGCTGTGTTTGGGACTGCACCTTTAATGTCACATGGAGCCGTCGGGGTAAGAGTTTTTAAAGAGCTCGGGGGATACTTTATGCAAGAGATGACTTGGCCCTTGTGCCTGGCCACATTTCTGGGGACTGGCTAAAAATCCAGTGTAGTGGAGACAGCATCCCGATAGGGTATTAATTTCACCTTCCAGCCATACGCCTTTTTGTTAAGATCATGAACTCTGAAAATTAACAATCTAATTTAGAATTTAAACTTGGCCATCATGGACGCCAGCATTTTACACTGGTGTCTTTTGAACTGGGAAGACTTTGGTACCCACCAGGGTCATATTCATTTGTCTGGGGCTGTGTTTGGCGGCGGCTGTGTCCCCTCTAAGGCTCTGGCCTGAGCTCTGCCTCCTGGGTGCCTCTTGGGCACTCTCCCAGGGTCTGACTTCGTCCCAGCACTTGCCATGTCTGGATTTACAACCTGCCTGAGACAGGCTGAAATGATTCCGGCTGGGGTGGGGGCAGTTCCCTAAATGCCGCCTCTGCAGAGCCGTCTGGGGGGACTGTGTGCCTGCAGCTGCCGCGGGTGCCCTGGATGAAAACTTGCTCTGTAGGATTCCAGACGGCTGGGGAGCACGTGCGTGAATCTGGACCTGCACATGGGAGAGGCTGCCTCCTACAGCCGGCGGCCCCCCAAAAAGGTGTTGGAGCCGACAGCTGACTTCAAATATTTGACTCTCTAATGTAAAATGAGTTGGTCACAAAACTGTTTTCTCTTCAGCATGAGGACGTCCATCTCGTTCCTGGCAGTCTGCCTTGCAGCCACGGCCATCCCGGATCTGTGCAGGTGCCCAGGTCTTCACCCTGCTGCGTCTGTGGACCCCCTGCACGTAGGCGGAGAGCAGCAGACCAGAACCGACTGCCCAGGGAGGCCAGTGAGTGGCTCCCAGCCTGGGCGGAAGCCGTGTCCAGGAGTGGCTCAGTGGAGTACACCCCAGCAGGAACCCCGTCCCTGCGGCTCCCTTGGTGGAAGAGGTCTCAAGGTGGCCATTGGCCCCCGGGCTGGAGGAGGCCATCCGTGTACAATTGGGAGGTTAATGGGAAGCCCCTGGGGAGGGGCAAGGGGGCTTTTCAAGGTTCTACACAGGGCAAGCCACCAAGTGCCTCTCCATGTGCATGGCAGGACGAGGGTGCCACTCACGTCAAGGAGGGACCTGAACAGCCTCCTGGCGGTCCTGTGCAGCCAGGGCCCCCTCTCTTTGCTGTCCGGAGCATGGCTGTGCGTTTAGCCCGGAGCCCGGTCACTGCTCTGAAAGACATTCGGAGAGTGAATCTTCACAGCTTCCTCGAAGAGCAGACGGTGGGTCCTCAAATGTGCACCGGGCACTGGGGGGCCCGCTGTTGTGGCTCCTCCCGGAGACTCAGAAACTGCGGCTCCACGTGGCACCTTCTCGTCTAGTCATGACCGGTGGATGTCACCCCTGGTGCTCCTTGTGCAGCCAGGGGCGGTTTTCTCTGGGACAACAGCGTCAGTGGACGGGAGAAGACCAGCCCCTGGGCAGACGGAGCCAGTGTCTCTCCCGGAAGCAGAAAGACAGCCCCTCCCTGCTGTCCTCTGTGCCCACCTGTCTCCAGCTGCTAGACCTGTCCTGTCACTGAAGGCAGACACAAGGGCTCCATGGGCCCCGATGCGCAGCACTGGCGAGCTGTGGTCTCCGATGCAAGTGGGAGGCAGGTCCTGGCGAGGAAGCCTCGTCACCGCCATGGCCCCTGCGGTTCCCCTCCTCCTTCCAATGTCAGCTCCTCTGCTCGCTCTGAACCCTGCACCTCCCTACTCAGTGCGCGGAGGGGTGTTCTTTCTAATTTGGGTAAAAATTACTCATTTGTGAGGAATATTAGAAAAGGAGCGACCAAAAAACCCCACAGAAACAATGGGATGTATTTTTTCGTATTAGCGTATGGAGCCTTTAAAAGACTTAAAAGTTTGTTTGCAGGAGTTGAGCTATAGATCAATGGGGTTTGTCTGTTTATGTTAAAGTCTTGAGCTCAGAACATCAGTGAACCATTTAGAGACCTGAACGATGACGGAAAACAGCAAAACAGAACAGTCCTGTTGTGATCCCCGGTGTGAATGCTCCACGTGTCACTGTCTCTGGCCTCAGAGACTCCAAGCGGGTCACACACAGTCGTGTGTGGTGGACTCTGGCAATGCCTTCCAGGCGGGGTGGGGCACCTTGTCTCTCTCCTGCCACCTCCAGCAGAGCCACCGTCAGTAGCCGTGGGGGGTGAGGGGCACAGGTGCTCCCTCCCGCCCCAGCACCGCTTCAGGAAAATTCCGTCTCCATCATTCACAGCTGTTGGTGGACTCGTAGACGCCGCAGCCATAATGGGGAACAGGTGGGCATATTTGCTGGCTCAAGACCCGGGTTAAAGAGTTTCTGTCAAGTTGTAGAGACGCTTTTATTCATTTAAGGAGGAGGCCCGGGACCTCCTCGTAGCATGTGTGTTTGTCCAGGGAGCACGTGAGCCTGTTTTCAGGGGCACAGTTGGCCCGTAGGCTGTGATGGAGGGAATTTTTCCCCCTGTGGCTGACTCTGCTGCCAAAACCCCCAGCACGTGGCATGTGAAGAGGTGAAACGATGAGCAGGAGAGTCTGAGGACAGGCTGTTGTCCACACTGCATTCCTCGCGCAGCGCCGTGTGTCACTGAGGTCTTCCGTGCGTAAGGCCAGCGAGAAACTGCAGCCACCGTGGGAGGGGAATGAGGACAGGAAGAGAAGCCTCGTCCCCTGGCCACGACCCCTGCTTGTTGTCCTCCCCACACTCCACAGGGGCAGGTCCGCTCTGTCTCAGAGACAAGAGCCCAGTCACAGAGGCGGCGTCTCCTCGCAAGCTCTTCCTGCCAGGGGTGGGCAGAATGTCCTGGGTGCAGCTGGGGAGCGCCCGGCGTCCATCCGGGCCCTGCCAGTGCGGGAGTGGAGCAGCGGCGGGAGGAGAGGCATTCCTGCCTATGTAAAGTGCTTTTCTTTTTCAATGATCAAAGGCGTCTTTCCCACAGCAGATAGGCACTTATCTTTTCTGTTGGATTTTGACCGACTTCTAAAGCCATATTGTGTCATGTTTACCAAATGCACAGACATTTATCAAACAGTGTCAGTAGCAGAAATGCAGTAGTACATCCAAGTTAAAATTTTTGCTTTGATTACTACAAATCCACAGGCCCTTGGGTCCAAAGCTTCTACTGCAGTTTGCAAATGGATTTTTATAGCACGTTAGTGCTGGAGGAGATTCCAAGGAAAACAGTCCTCCTCAGCATTAGGACCAGCCACAGCTTTCTTCAGCCAGTGACTCACTGCTTTAGTTTTTAATTGGGTGGGAGAACCAGGTAAAAGACACCCAGGCCCAGTCGGGACACTGTTTGCTCTGCAGAGGGTGTCCTGACCACAGCCCGCCCGACACACCCACTTGTAACTCATGCTTACTCAGCTCTCTCTCCTCCTCACAGTTCCAGCTATAAAAACAGAGCCCACTGACGACTACGAGCCTGCTGCGACCTGTGCGCCAATGAGCCAGGGCTTAAGTCCCCTCCCGAGGCCGTACTACAGCCAGCAGCTCACGATGCCACCCGACCCCGGCGCCTGCCTCATGGCCGGCTTCCCTCCCTGTCCACAGAGGAGCACCGTGATGTCCACACCTCCCAGCGTGAGCCCAAAGCTCCATGACCTTTCTTCTGCCGTCTACACCAAGGGCCTTGCCAGCCCAGGCCACGGTCACCTCGGACTCCAGCCTCTGGCTGGAGAGGTCCCCATCATTCAGGAAGTGCCAAGGCCTCTGGTCCCGCTCCCAGGCTCGCCCGAGCAGCCGCCCCCCGCCAGGCTGCAGCCGCAGGTGAGTCAACATCTGAGTAGTAGCTGCTCCCTTGGTTACCAGCAAACACTCTGTCCCCAAAGCCCCTCTTCTCCACCTCTGCCCGTGGCCCAAGAGCCAGCCTGCTTGCAGTCCTGCAGCCCAGCCCACCTGGCCGCGACGGGCCACCAGCAGCACCAACTGCCGAAGGTTCACAGAAATGCGTCTCCAGCCACTCGGCCGCTGTCACTGCCTGAGGTGCGTGAGGACAATAGTCATAATTTGGCCCCTATTCCTGTAACGATCAAGCGAGAACCTGAGGAGTTGGACCAGTTGTACCTGGACGACGGTAAGTGTCTGCGGCCGCACGGGTGTGCGCTCACCCAGGTGTGATCCGCGAGCTCGCGGAGGAGGGGTGTGCAGGCGGGCTGCTCGTGCAGGGGCACCGCCGCACTAGTGTTTGGGTGCGGGAGACCATTCTCCGGGGGTCGTGTGCCGTGGGGGCAGCTCAGCCAACGGGCCGCGTGACCATGGTTCTGCTCCAGTCATCGTGCCATCATGTTCTTGGCTGATCCTTCGGTGTAGACCTTTGGTGATCCCTGTCTGGGTGGTATTAGGCACAATCTCGGGATGCCCAGGTTTGCCGACTAAAGCTGAACACAGAGCTGCTCAGCTCGAACTCAGAAAGTTCTGACTACAGGAAGGGCCCATCCCCAAGCTGGGCTCTGGTCAGGCTTTCTCAGTTCTTGGCATCTGTCATAGGAGCTTCTTTAGTCTAGTGAACAGTGTTTGAATAATGGCTTAGCTAAAAGTGACAAACACTTTGTGCACTGTGCAAAAGTACTTAAATGCTGTGACAGCCTTGTCAGGAGCTCGGTAGACAGAGAACAAGGGAACAGTGGCCCTCAGCGGTGGCTCTGGCCCACATGTGGGCCCTGTCTTCCAGCACGACACACTGCTGGCTCATGGAGAAGCACAGCTGATGTGTGTGTTTAGGGCTGTGTGGAAAGCCATGTCCTCGAACATCTGCAGCCAGGCTCACAGGTGTAAAGCGCCCTGAGCACTAACGTGACAGATGACAAGATGTCACGCTGTTCTTCACATGTGCGTTGAGGGGTTGCTCTCTTCTCTGGATTTGGTGCTGCTCCAGCTGGGTGTGATGGAGGCAGCCCTGACTTGCAGCTCACATGTCCCTGCAATGGTGAGCAGTCACATGACCTGGGGCGGGCGAGTGGCTCATTCAGAGTCGATTCGATCAGTGTTCGTGTGGGAGTCTGGGCCTCTATCAGAGGCACAGCCAGGTCTCCCAGGCGGGAGCCGTCTCCCAGGCCTGGTGAAAACCGGCGTACCTGGAGCAGGCGTCCACCCCCAGACTCAGGTGGGGCCCGGGTGGCACGGGTGCCATGCTGTCAGGCGGAGCCTCGCGGGCCAGCCTGCTATAGACGGTCTCCCATGACAGCATAGGCGCTGAGTGCTATTGGCTTTTTCTCCCACTACAGCTGTTTCTGGAAGTGTTGAGGTTTCCCTGTTTGTGTTCTGTGAGCTCTCAAGCAGCTGGTTGCGTGCGGGGTCCTTTGGGAAGAGCACCGGGCGTGGGTGGCAGGTCCGCTGGGCTCCCGCGCTCTGTACTGCTCTCTCAGCGCACTTGGGGGCAGGTGCCTGCTGGATGCGGGCGTCCAGCCCTCACAGTGATGAGATCTGGCATCAGCCCTGTGACCCAGAAGGACACAGTCCCCGTGCCTCAGGGTTTCAAGTTTTCCTGTATGCTCAGGTGGACACAAGGCCCAGCCAGACGCTCTCCTGCTTACCCCTCGCTCGGGGCCACAGCGTTCTGAGGAGCATGCCTGCAAATGTTTCTGCTCAGAAAACCCTCCACCCTTGAACCTGTGTCCTGCTCTGTGGTGTGAGCCTGTGGTCAGAGTTTGTCCTGTCGTCTCTCCTTCCCCTGCACCCCCAGGGCCCACGATGGCGCTGACATGCCTCAGGCTCCTGCCTTCCCGGGGAGTGTTACTCAACAGTGCCCTGTCTCAGCACTGGCGTGGTCCTGCTGGTAGCTGGGGGAGAGCAGAGCATGTCTCTTCTCTCCAGATCCTGCCCTCGCCTTCCTTGCTTGGTCGAGGGCAGGACGGCCTTGCAGAGGCGACATCTCCGGCCAGCCCAGGCTCCCACGTCTGGGCAGCACCCCTCTGGCCCAGAGACGGGACACGGGTCTCACAGCTTTGTGGGGTGTGTGGCACCGGGGCAGGTGGGCCACTGGGAGGAGTGCCAGGACAGGTGGTAAACTGCACCAGCACGGCCAAGCGGGGCGCCGGGCCACCACTCAGAATGTTGCCTGGAAGTGGGACAGGATGGGGTGCTCGGCACTCTGGGGTGGCCCTGGAGGTCAAAGCTGAGTTGAAAGTCCCAGTGTTGAGGCCTGGGTCCATGGGGGTGGGGGGCTGGACCATGCTCACATGTCACTGGGAGGGGGCTGTCCCAGCCCCAGGCCACGTGTGAATGTGAGGGACAGATGCAGTGCCAGGGGTCCTCTGGTCACCCTGTGCGCCCAGGGGCAGGCATGGAAGGTTCACCTCATGCTCAGAAGAGCCGGGCCAGGCACATCCACTGTGGGCTGCATTTCCTTTGGGGCCTCTCCCACACCTGACACCCACAGGACCCTGGAGCCCCAGATGCTCCAGCTGGAAAACATCTGCCCACCTCACCTTTTTTTTTTTTGTCCTTTTTGAGACCGGCTGCACCACGCTCAGCCAGTGAGCGCACCGGCCATCCCTATATAGGATCCGAACCCGCGGTGGGAGTGCTGCTGCGCTCCCAGCGCTGCACTCTCTCGAGTGCGCCACGGGCTCGGCCCTGCCCACCTCACCTTAAGGAAGCTCCTCTTCTGCAGTCCCTCGGTCCTGCCTTCGCCAGGTCTGTAGTTGCCCTTGGCCGCTTCCTGGACATTTATAGTGACCAGGAGGTGGTGCCAGGCCGTGTTCAGGTTCGAGTGTGGACATGGTTCTGAATTCACTTCCCTGTGACTCATCTGTTGAA